TATTAGGATCCCGATTATAATCCCTATTAGGGGGAAGGGGTTTATTAATCACGGGTCTGGGTTAGGAAGGACCCGACAATTGACGGACGCATCTGTGATTCGGGGTGGAGGGAATCCTAGAATGGCTTTGCACGCACTAGCCTCCAGAGCCCTACACGGCGGAGGGTAAACTCCCTCTCCGCAGACATCGAGAGAATCCAGCATGTATATTACATTATATCATATTTTTGATATCAGACCATATCATATATATATATATTATCATACCATATTATACTATATTACGCAGCGCTTGTTTTCTCAGCCACTCAAGCACACGCCGGCACGGCAAGCCACTTGTGCCGCGCGATGTTGGCGGTTGAGGGGTTCAGGGCTTGGGAAAAACTCTGCTGAATTTCGGGCGGTAGACCCCAAAATACTGAATTCCTTGCTATGGGTACTTCAAAAAATTTAGGGCTTAGGTTTTAGGGTAAAGGGCACACCCAGCTTTTGAAAACACCCCAAACATGTGCCGGTTATCCTGGTTCACTTACAGCACTGACCCCGAAACCCTAAACACTAAACCCACTACTCCCTTTTATTCTCAGAGCTCCTAGACCCAGGAGCTCTGAATCCCAGTTGGGCTTTATTTGCATAGTATTGGGAAGGGCTAAATCCCTAAACCCTGAACCCTACACCCGCCAGACCCAAAGCCCCTAAACCCTGAACCGCACGTCCCTTCCGGCTCTCAGAGAAGAGGAAAGGTGAACTGAAAGAAGAAGTTGCCTTGGATCATGGGTTTTTGTTAAGGGGCTTGGTTTAAGTTACTATAGGGGTATAATCTAGGGTTTTAGTGTGTGAGGTTTGGGGTTACTATATTGGGGAAACCCTATTATTTACTACATATACCGATTATGGTAACTTAATTTAAGTTCCTTCACAGCAACGCAGTCATGGGTTTCATTTGGAAGCGGCGGGTCATCAAGAGATACTTTGTAGAATTCGTAGAAATGTTAAGGGTTTAGGGTTTGGGGTTCAGGGTTCCTCGGATTAGGACTTCAAATCAACCAAAATAACATGGAAACTGATATCGTCTACTTTTGGAAAGACTTCGCACTTTCCAGGGCCCTTTGCGTCTTCCATGCTGGTTGGGGGAGGGGAGCCCAATGAGACAAGCCGAGGGTTTGTCAAATGATCAGAGGCTATTGTTATACGCCGTCAAAGTTCCATAGAACCCCTTCGTACTGTGGATGGAGACAGTCATGCATCACCTTTGATACCTTATACCCGAGGAGTTAGAGTATCATGAGTTTCCTATGTGGAACAAGATTTCCTCCATCCACCACAACCATGATTACTCAGCGTTCATTCATTTCCCGGCTAAAGCTACACACCGCTTAACTGTCAAGGGTCCACAGCTTGAGCAACAGGCGGAAAGGGGGTGGGGCTGCGGGGAGATTCTGCGTAGTAAGTACCTGGACAATTGAAATCGCTGATGGGGGTTAAGCCCACGGGTCCATTGAACTTTGTAATATACAGCTGGCCCCCAAAAGTAAAACCCTAAACCCTTAACCCGAAAGCCCCATGCAGCTCTGTAGTATACACCTGGGCCCTATACTGAAGTGGTTCCATGGGAACCCCACACCCTAAGCCCCTAGACCCTAAACCCTAACCCTAAACTCCCCAAACCCTAAAAACTCTCAACCCTAGGCGCTAAAAGCCCTAAAGCCTAAAAAACTCTGAGCCTAAACCCTAAAACGCTAAACCCTAAACCCTAAAAACTCTAACTGCTGTGACTTTAGCTACTGGTTTAGGGCTTAGGGCCTTCGGGTTTAGGGTTTAGGGCATAGGGTTTAGGGCCTCGGGTTTAGGGTAATACGGTGGATGGAGGAAATCTTGCACTATTCAGTAGCCATATAGGAACTTCATAGTACTGCAATTCGAGGGCTATACGGCACAGTATTTAAGCTGGTGTATGATATGCTTAGTTTACAGTGGCGACAGACTCACACATTTATGCTAAAACTATTGTCCAGCCGCTACAGAAAACACTAATAGCTAAGCCATGACGGTGATCGAAGCTAAGTTCCGCAGCCTACACCCTAAACCCTAAACCCTATCAGTCCACAAAAAAAAATCTGGTAGCTTCTGGATTCCAAATCAGGTCGCACAGGCCAAGCAGGATTCGTACCTGTCGGGGTTGTGGGTGCAATCGGATGCCAACCACGAGGTCGAACTCAAGGTCCACTCCTTAGCATGAAAAGCTAGCTTTAGGGTTAAGGGTTTGAGGGCTTGGGTAAAGATTATATAGGCCCCAGTAGTAGAGAATCAAACAGAAAACGACATGGAACATGACATGGCAAAAAGGCTCATAGCTTCAATTACCGATTTCCAGCGCAATAGACATACTGCGAAGCCCTAGTTTATCAGTATCCGTAATTCTGAGAGACTAGTTAAGATGACCGTGGTTATCGTTGGCACTTCAGCCTCCAATGCAGTCCCTCGCAAAAGCCCTTTATGAAGGTAACACGGAATTTCCTGAAACTTTCTCCAGCTCTTGTGGAGAAGCTCCTACTGACAAGTTGAGGGGACTTAGGAACCAAAATTGGGCTTGTAACCCTACTTATAATCCCGTAACTGGCCTTATAGAGGTTACCCCATGTATATGTATGCGTATAAACACAATGATAAGTGGTAGTTTCCCACTAATCTTGGGAAACCCTAAACCCTAAACCCTTAGGGTTTAGGGTTTCAGGGTGTAGAGGTTAGGAGCTCCAGGTTGACAAGAGCCTTGTTAGTAGGGTTTAGGGGTTTTAGGGGTTTAGGGGTTTTAGGGGTTTAGGGGTTTAGGGGTTTGGGGTTTAGTTGTACTTGTATTCCAGAGCTTGGGCTAAAACAAAGCAGTTGCCCAACTAAGTAAGGATGGCCTCAGCCCTACAACGTCAACTCTAATCCCTAAACCCTAAACCCGCAATCCTGAACCCCTAAACCCTAATCAAAAACACCCCAAGCCCTAAAAAACTAAACCCTAAATTCTAATTCCCTTGACCCTAAAGCTGGCCAGGGAAGTCAGGAGGTCACAGTAATCAAATCCGTTTGCTCCCGTTTGCTTCCAACATTTAGCGTTTAGGGATAGGGTTAAGGGATTAGGAGTTTAGAGTTTGGGGGTTTAGGGTTTAGGGATTAGGGTTTATGGAAAAGGGTTTAAGGATTAGGGTTTAGGAATTAGAGGCATAGGAGTTATAACCGCAACCTCTCAATGATAAGAGCCCCTCCAGGGACATTTACTATAAGGGGGAGTGAGGCAACCTAACCCTAAACCATCAGTAGTTATTGAAACCATCGTGCCCCTAAGCCTTACTTGAAGGCTAAGGCCTGAGCCTTCAGTCGGCAATCCGGTGAAGGCTGGGGAGGAGGTGGGAGCTTGTCTGCTTCCCTCTTGGTTTAGGGACGGGGTTTCTAGGTCTAGCGTTGAGGGATTAAGATTTAGAACTTACGTGATTAGGCTTTAGGATATGGGGCTGATCGCCAGTAAAGAGTTCCAACTAACTCTAGTTGAGGATGAACTGTTGTACAGGTCGGCCTCAGCTATCTGTGCTGGCTGCTTCTATACCAGGGAAAACTCATACTTTGAACTAACCAACTAACTGCTCCATGGGAATGCGCCGCTCGTGAGCATTAATCACCCTAAACCCGGTTTAGGGTGTAGGGCTTGGGTCTCTGTGGTAATGCTGTATCGCCAGGGAGTTTTGTCACCATGCAGACGGCCAGGGGGATGTTCTCATGGGATTGAACATGGATCCGAAGCACCCCAACCATAATCTAAAAAACACAAAGCCCTGAGCCTATAGTAATTAGACTATATACCAAGTATCCTTTAATCCACCTACCCTCATCTCATCTCTTGAGCCCCCTGAAGATAACAACCTGCTTTGTTGGGTTTGTTTGACCCGGCCTTTGGGGATTAGGAGCTCCCCACCCTGTAATAGTGGTATAATATGAATATAAGAGGACCATAATATAATCCCTATTATCCCTTATAGTCACTATTACTGGGTGGGGGGTCCACCTAATCTATACCCCTGAACCCCCCGTTGAGGGACCCTGCACTTAGGTAATCTGCCATCCTTTATAGCCCTATCCCCTACCCCATTTGTTAGCAACTCCAGGGTTCCTCAAAGTCGACCATGGATTGTAAACCCTAAACCCCCAAACCTGCCCTTATGCCTATACCTCATATGGAGAATTAGGATCCTTGGAGGTTTAGGGCTAAGGATCCTCAACCTGGTACTCCCGTTGCATACATGATAGTTGATCAAAGTTCCTGTTCCCCAACATGACATGTATGAAAACAATGTCCCACCTATATCCTTATATTTACGAACCTACCAGAATCCACCAAATTAGTTGACCAAAGCACGTTTAGATTAACCCTGACCCTGAATCCTCAACTCTAAAACTAGATCCTAAATCCTAAACCCTAAGCCCTAAATCATTAACCCTAAATCCTAAACCCTAATTCCTGCCTGATCTGCTTGACTTGCCGGTCCCTCCGAGCGAGCACCATTTTTACTGACCTGCGGGCTGTGCCAATCGTGTTTCATACTCTGGCTACGGGATTCAGGAGATTGCCGTAGACGAACAGAGAAAGGTCGAAGAACTTTGAAAGGTTGACAAACTTTTGCAGGCCACCAGCAAAGGCGAAGAAGCTTAGCCGAGCTGCGGCCTGACCCACCCACCCCATCCACGGGGCAAGCTGCGAAGCGTCTGCACGAGCAACAAAAACAGCGTGAGGAAGTCCACCGGGCGGGTTGGGAGGGAAGTAGGTGCCGCTGGACCAGTCAGAGCCGAAGGCGGGGTCCACGTTGGAGCTGCACACGAAGAGGAAGAGGGAGCAGACTGCAAAGCCTCCATGGCCGATGGTGTCTCCATCCATGCCTGGTAGAGCCAATCAATGATGTTCGCCTCCAGATCAGCGGCCATGAAAGCCACCTGAGAAACGAGTTCACGGATCAGGCGACTAGAGAGCATCAAAGCGATTCTTGCCAGCACTCTCACGCTCATGACGATGAGGAATGCCAACAGTCGAGGGAACAGCACGAGCAGAAGCAGCGAGCCCAGATTCTTCCAATTTACCCAAGTGCTCCGACTTTCACTTCCTGAGCGCCAGCGCGACGCCATCTGTCTGGCGTTCGAGTCAGCCAAGACCTGTGCCGCACTAAGGCCCTGGGAGATATCCTCATCCCCCAGAGCGGTGGTGGCCTGATTCATAGCCTCCATCAGGACACCCACGGCCCGCGAAGGGCCACTCACAGCTCCAGGGTCGGCAGCGGACGATCTGGGAAGTGAGCCTTCCAGATGTCCTGAGCTTGTGACTTCGAGTCCACTTTCCGGAGTCTTGCCCCGGAGCCTGACAGCCGCCCTCCCCGCAGGCTTGCCTCGAGAGTCTTCCATTGGCCTGTGAACAAGCCAATTTTCTCCGGTGACTCTGGGTTCGCCAGGACCAAGTAGAGTCGCTGGTCGGTGCGGTACTGCACGCTACTGCCACACGGAACCTTGCCCTTCTCCAGATTTGGAACACTAGCAAAGCTGAAGCCTGTGGGCCCGCAGCAGAGGCGGTCTGAGCCGCTCCGGTCAAGACCCAAGGGCTGTCCACTTCAAGCTCCTCCAGAGCGTCTGCTAGCTCACGCAAAGCCTTCACTACTCGCTCCGACATCTCTGCAGCAGCTCAAGGAGAGGAAAAGGCGGCGGCACCCGCAATCGTTTCACATGCTTATGCGCCAAGGCAACACGCTCAGTAGCAACCGCAGAAAACTTCATGGACGTGTACATCGAAAAAGCCATGTGGAGATAATGCCTTAAGGTGCTGGCCTTGGTCCATCTCCCCATGTACTGCAAAGCCGGCAAGTTCTTGTGCTGCCTAAACATATGAGTTGCTCCTCCTGCACGCAACGAAGCTGGTGTGAAGCCCACCTCCCCCAAGTCAAGAGCCTCAAAGCCCTGCTTGAAACGAGCCGCCCATTGATGCCTCTCAAATGGAAAGATTCGACGCCCAGCAGCAAAACCCTGTAACCACCACCTCGTCCAGGCTATGATTGGAAGCTGTTTCACAAGGATGAACTGTGTGCGATATACTCTTCTGGTTTTTGGATGCCTAACCACAATCACCATGCCCGGCGAGTCCTCGCCTTCACCCTCATCAGCCGGCAACGTGATATCCTCCCTCTTCAGCGCTAGAAGTTCTCCAGGTCGGAGTAGTGCTTCAAAGCACAGCCACGAGCCCACCATGACACACCACCACATGAAACGATCCCGGCCCGAAGCACTATGCCCCTTTGCCAAGCAGATGATGAGGAAGGCTTGGAACGTATGCCAGGTGACAGGTAGGCGAGAACGGACTGGTTGAGTTGAACGCCACCCCTTTAGTGCCGCCCACGTTCCCGGCAACGATGTACCCGAGATCCGCCACGCTTTCTGGACCCCCAAAACCCCCGCCGTAATGTAGTAGAGCTTCTCCCCCTCGCCATGAGCATCTTCCACTGCCAATGCGACTCAGTGGTGAATTGCGACCCAGACGACCACCAACACGGCCCGCCCGATTCACCAGGTCCACCGCAGCCTCACGGACACGACGCCTATATGCCGAAGAGAGATTTGCATCACGCAACCGAGGAGCCATGTTCCCACTGCAACTTAGCTTTGGCTAGCAAGTGGCAAAACTCCCAAGGATAGGCCGACGCTTGGCGAGCTCTTTTTCCCCTAAGGGGTTCACCATGTACATGATTTCCCGGGCACCTTCTCAAGACCACCAAACCACCCTCACCTGTGAGCCACGGAAGGTTGAAGCACAGACGGGTAGGTTTCTTTGTGGGAGCCCCCCCTCTTTCATGATCGGAATATGCACACCAATTGACAGCTTGCAACTTCACCCCCGGCAATGCAAAGAGCTTCTGCGTTTCATCTAAGGCCCAAGCACGAGATGATGCCGGGTGCTCAAGCCCAAAGTAGACTCCAACTGACACAGCCAAGGAAGCAAGTTGCAGCGCCCGACCCCAAAGAGCATTTCCGAGCGCGATTTCGGGCCGCCTTGAATCTCCTGCTGGATCTCCACGAGGACGTAGAGGACCCCCACGGTCCAGATTCCTCAGCGGGGAAAAGGAGCAGCAGGGCGGCGCTAACCAAACCCATTGAACATGACCCCCGCAAATGAGCTTCTCAATCTCCGGGGAAAAAGCGTCACTACCAAGTTCTCGCTCAATAGGTTCATGCATGGGACAACCAAGTTCTTTATGAGCTCGTGTCAGACGACAGCTCCCAGCAAAAATCTCAAGTCCCCAACCTCCACCAGCTTGTAACCCAAGCTCTCGCATCCACTTGGTCGGAGGCCTTGGAAGTGGCAGAGGAGCTGAGCGGGATGGGTAGTCAGCGGGGTTGGACGAGGTCTCTACCCACAGCAAAGCCACAGTGACGTCACCGAACAGAAGAAAGGGCACCAAAGTCCTCAGCAACCCATTTATTTTGAAAGATGACGATCGACCCTTCGCCACAGCCCCAACTACCACTCTGGAATCATTGACAAAGAGCTGGATCCGGCCTCGCGCGGAGAACCGGGATGCCACCTTGCACAACTCACGCTTGAAAGCTCGAAGTTCTTGAAGATTGATACGCGAAGTCTGTCTGAAAGTATAGGATGCACACACTTCCCACCGGAGGCATTCACTGAGGGCACTTGCAAAACGACTCGGCTCTGAAGGTGTCGCCGCATCCCATTCGAAGTCCCCTCCCCGGTCGAGACGAACTGCTGAGCCCCGAACTTCTGATCTTCGCCACAGCTCCTTTCCAATTTCGGCTGGCACTGAAGCCACAGTAGCACCTCCCGTTGTGGGTGTTGCGTCAGTGGCGATCACATCCGGCAAGACACTACGGCGCATACTCCAAAATGCAAACGGAACATGTAAGGCAATGGACCGCAATTCGTCATTGATGTGGCCCGGCAAGTAGGTCCATCTGCCTTCTTTCATACCCTGGATGAACTTGTACACGTGATGTTGCAAGCTATAGAACTCTCGTCTATATTGAAACACAAAGCAGACTGAGCCCATCACCTTCTGAAGAATCTCTTTGGTGCAGAAGCCTAGCTCAAGGATTTTGCGCAGGATGCTCCGGATTTGCCGACGCACTTCAAGCGGTGCCCCAGCCTTTCCTCGGACACCGTCCAGCTCGGCCCCCCAAGCCTTGAACTGAGTCTGGTATCTGAACTCCTTATGCTCAGCCCTCTGCAACCCTGCCTCCAGATACGCAGTCTCCGCAGCCTTGACCTTGACGACGTCGGGGTCCTGGCCGGAGGGTATGGGGGCAACAAAGGAACCATCAAGGGGAATGTCATAGCTTAGCTTGTTCCTGTAGGCGATGAGGAGGTCGTCTAGGTAGATGCCTTCCATGACCTGGCTAGTTGGGAAAGGCTCGCCATACACTAGGATATTGTCAGCCCCGAGCAACCCCTTCTTCTGTAGCACGGATTCATGAACTGCCTGGGCGATTGCACAGCCATTCACATCCCCCATGCCAAGAACACAAAGGCAAGCACGATGAGGTACAGCAGTGTCCAGGCCCGCCTCAGCAAGCACATCCTTGGGAACGCGTCTGCCAAAAGCATTGAACCTGTGCCAGTTGGAGGGAAGGGCTAGGGTGTAGTAATAGTTGGAGAGATCATCGCCTGAACCCCGAAGATACTCATCATCATCCAAAATAATCCTACAGAAGCATGCTCCACTCGGCAGTCTCGCCCAGTCCAGCTTTAACATGGTCGCATTTTCAGGACGCCTGTCGAAGATAAGCCGGTCCTGAAGCTCACTCTTCTTGACAGCGAAGAGACCCCCCAATCGGAGATCCCCAGCCTGAGTGCGAGGAAGGACCGCTTCAGGAAGGAAGGTGATCATTTTGGCTCTCCAAAGTTTGCGGAGTAAAGGTGCCTCCTCGGCCTTTGCAACCCGATGGCAAGCAGGTCCTGCTTCCTTCCACGCGACCTCCGGCAGCCGCAGATCTTCTAAGTGCTCCACCACATGCGTGCGCTCAGGGCCCAAGCAAGCACAAGGGTTCACACCCCCAGCCACCTCCGGGATGGCCACACGCTCCGCCTCCACCGCCAATGCTGAAGACAAAGTACTCGAATCAACCTTGACAAAGTGTCCATATGATGCACCTGTACAAGAGGCCACTAAGGCCTCCAATTCTCCCCGCTTTCCAGAACTGACAAACGAACCGTCCATAAGTTCGGGGGTAATAAAATCCACCACCTCGCCAAGCAGCTTATCAGCAAAAGGACGAATGCCCTCTACGCTTCGGTAGGCTACCCGCGGCTCAAGCACCCCTGCATCATCCCCGGGACAACCAAGCACCACAAAATTGGACCACGCCACCACGGTGTTCACGAAAGACTTGGCCCACACATCGGCGCTCAGCTTCCCAGGATCCTATTAGGCAACACGGCCTCCGGATAGGGTAGGGCACTCGGAAAGAGTGGTGTGTCGGTGCCGGACAGCTCCAGCAAGGTACCTTGGGCACGTTCAAACCACGCTAAGTACTTCATAAATCTGGTTGAATTCGAAGAAGGCAAGGAAGGACTCACTGTACACGACCCCCGCCCCACACACAGATGGTCTCCAGGGACTACTTGCGAGGCGCTCTCGCACCTCCATCCTCGTCCTCGTCGTCGGCCACACCGTTCTGGGAGTCGCGGACCTTCTTCTTGAGCTTGTTCAAGGAGTCGAGGTAGCCGGAGACGATCGCCATTTCGGTCTTGGTCCCGGCGAATTCTTTTCGGATCAATGGATCCGGCAGCCCTGTTAAAAGCCATGCTGCGGACCACTCGCCGTTCTGTAGGACAGCCTGCAGCTTTGATTTCATGTTTTGAGCCAATTGGGCTCCTGCTGCCTCCGCCTCGCCGTTCCTCAGCAGTTCGTAAGCGGCTGCATCCATCACAGCTGCGCGGTACACTCCTTTGAACTTGCCCCAGTTCTGGCGGCGAAGCCAGTCCCGCACCGTCCAATTCTGGCCTGCCACTACGCCGAGCTCCTCTACGATCTCCCGCTCGAAGTCGGCAACGATCCTGGCCGGTCGGGACCGCACCCGCTGATGCATCTTGTTCAGAGACACCACGGCCTTCATCCCGGACTTCTGCAAGTCGTCGGCGTCGCTTTCGCTGTCTGAGCTCAAACCACCAAGGGGTTCGGCGCGGCGGTCCTTCTTGCGGTGGTTGCCCTCCTGCTTCATGATCATGGTCAGCATCGCCAAGGGGAGGAGCTCCGAAGCGGACTGGCCCTGAGCCAGCCCTGCACCGATCAAATCGCTGACCTTCAGAGAGCGATCCTTGTCCTTCTTCTTGAGGAGCTTCTCCGAACCACCTGGGGCCAACATCCGTCTGGAACTCAAAGATGCCCCTGGAACAACCCGAGGCACGTCCTCGTCCTCGTCCTCGTCGTCGCTCTCGGACTCTCCAAACAGACTGCCCAAACCCTTCAGCTCCTTTTCCAGGTCTCGGCTTACAGTCGGACGAGGCTTTGACGGGGCAGATGCAGATGCTCTCCCTACGATTGGCTCGGCTCCGCTGCTCTCCAGCTGCTTCTGCTCCAACTTCTTCCAAGAATCCGAACATGTCTGCAGACTAGGCAAGTCCTTCGGACGAAGACCCGACCAACCACTTGGGGGACCCAAAGCAATGCTATCCAACGGAACCTTGATAAAGCGCAAGTCGATGTTACCAGATTTGCCGCCCTTGCCCAAAAGCGAGTTCTGGACTTTGGCCCCAGCCTCCGTGCTGGTTCCAATCACGACGTCCGAATCTGACGTCTCAACGACCCATCCACACAATGACACCGTAAGGTCGCCAGCTCCCTGGCACACCACGTACACTATGTCTCCGGATTCTGCCATGGCGAACTAAGCTAGTATTCCCTGAAAAGCTTGAGCAGGGGGCCCGGCATCCAGCTGATGATCTGTTGTCCAACGTGAAGACGACACCTGAGCATCAGCACACAACGTCAGGAATGGCCCTTTGTACCCCTAGACCCTAAACCCTCCTCTTGGAAGGAGCCCTGGGCCGGGAGTCCGAAGTCAAGGCTTGCACCACCACCTGCTGCTTGGAGGTGTTGGGGGAAGGAGGGGGGGGGTTTAGGGGGTTTAGGGTTTATGACTTAGGAATTAAATGGGCTTTAGGGGGTGTAGGGTATTGGATTGAAGGTTCAGGGTTTATAGGGTTTAGGGTTTAGGATTGAAGGTTTAGGGTTTAGGGTTGAGAGTTTCGGGTTTAGGGTTCACGGTTTAGGGTTGAAGGTGCAGGAGTTGGGGTTTAGAGCTTTAGGTTTTACTTGGAGGGTTCTTAACCTACTTACTAAGTCCTCATGATCCTCCAAGTAGGGTTTAGTGAGCTGAGAGGCATGGGCCCCTGGCAGGGAGGCTGAATCCTGGGGGTCCACCCTCGAATGCCTGAAGGTTTTGATTGAAGGATTCTGGGGGTTTAGGGTTGAGGGTTTGGGATTCAGGGAAGAGTCCTAGGGTCCAAGTGCTTCAAGGGTTGGGGGCGGTAGTTTCTAGGTGTGAGACCGAAGGGTTTCAGAGCTGCTTGTTTTTTGGGGTTTTGAGGGCCTCTAGTGTTTTAGGGCTTTAGGTGTTTGGTTTACGGGCTTAGGATCTGAGAGTGTAGGGCATTTATGGTCCGCCCCCCGGGACACTGCGACCGTTGTAAGCTAAGCGGCATACCCCCTTGTGCTGGGAACCATCCATGCTATTAGCCTATACCGGGTTGTTGTTCGGAAACCCAAACTACACTACCAGACTCAGAGCTGTTTAATGTAGACCCATGATTAATAAACCCCCTCCTTTTAAGGACCTAAATAGTACGATCCCTATTATAATCCCTATTAAGGGGAGGGGGTTTATTAGTCATGGGTCTGGGTTACCAAGTATGTATCCGCGAAAATAACCTACGCCCTAAACCGTGTCTACCTCTCAAAGTCTCTTCAAAGACCTCGAACTTCAAGGGTTTCCGGTTTAGGTTGGGAACTGCCCCCACTCAGTAACAGTTGGATAATGTTTATAATATAGTTATACATAGCCCTTAATATGCCCCCTAGTATAGACTGCTACTGGGAGAGGGCAGTACCCAAGGTTTAGGGCTTCTAGATGCAGAGGAGTCTTCGAACAATTTCATTGCCACAGCCAGAGGACACACCATACGCACGTTGAGAGTTTTGGGTTTTTTTTTGCAGCCGATAAACCTGATAGCAACCCATCCATTAGTGAGTTGAGGAGATTCCTCCTTTGCGCCGACCCTCAACACGGAGCTCTTAAACCTCAATCCTGAAGCCGAACTTTCAATTCTTACAGTAGCTGAGTAGTATTTCATTTTGGGATACTATGGTACCCAATATAGAGTAAGATTATATCCTCCTGTTGGGGTATAGTATTTTGTATAAGGGATGTTATCTTACTAGGTTCAACCACCAACAAAACACTAAACCCAGCTGGCTATCTCTCAATTCCTACAGTAGCTGGCTATTTGAGCTATAGTCTAAACTCCTAGTATCCCCCTTAAGAACCCCATATAATACTCCCCTGTAGAATCCCCCTTTAAGGAGTTTTCACTATGGCTCATTTAGGGCTTTGGGGTTTTAGGGATCCGTCGCCTCAAAGCACTTAAACCCTAAACCCAAAGGGTTTAGGGTTTAGGGTTTAGGCCCAAATACCCTACTGCCGATACGGGGAGAGTGAGGCAAAGGACCCCTACCATCATCCCTGTACAACCCCCCAAGATTTAGGGTTGAGAGTCCTTAAAACCCTAAATCCGAATACAACCCCCCAAGATTTAGGGTTGAGGGTCCCTAAAACCCTAAACCCTAAGCCCCGAACCTTAAGAAGGTTAACTGCCTCATTGGGATTATCTAGGGGGAGCTTTATCTCTATACGCGAACGCCTAACCCTAGGGATCCAATTATACAAATGGTTTAAGGTTTAGGGTTGAGTGATCCAAGTATACAAATGATCTAAGGGTTTAGGGATATACGAAAGATATCTACATTGGGCCCTGAAGTCTGTAAATATTACCTGCATTCGCCTCTTTGAATCCCTAGGGTGAGCAAATATCCATCAACATGGCCTATGTTTAGAAAGCCATCTGCATCTTTCCATCCAGGGCATACCTGGAAGAACATGGCGTTGGGGATGGTTTTTTGCGTCTGGGATTTAGGCTTTGCAGGTTTACGGGTTCAGGGTTAGGTAGGCTGCGCGATGTTATGATGCTCTGGGGTCCTGAGCTTCAGGGTTCTAATTCTAAGTACCCTAAATATTGAAATCACGGTGCTTCAGGGACCCCCTCTGCTGCAAGAGCTCCTCATCCACCATGGTCTCACTGGTGCTTACAGGTATCAGCCCCATACCATCCCTGGAGATAATGCCTGTGTGAGGTTTAGGGTCTCGGGTCGGTCATATGTGCGGGGTTGCTCGTTTTTGATGGTTGGTTGAGAGTTTAGTGCTGAACCAGGTACAAAATGAACTCCTGGTTATCCAGAACTCACACTCTAAACCCCAAACCCTAAACGTTGGAATTTTCCTCTGGGGTTTCGGAAGCTCATTTTGGCAAGCTCATCTGTCCCACCAGAACAGCTGCGCATCTATCCCCTTCTATCCGCAAACTCTCAACCCAGAATACCACTTTCCTTCACCTCCCCATGTCCGCTGCATCAACACGACAGGGCCTATTCAGTCTACAAACCTGCAACAGATGGGCAATGGTTCGCCCACTCGCACTCTTCGTACTGGTGTTGAAGGAAGCTGGGAGAGTGGATCCTTACATACTCATCCCCATATACTCCCCATATATACCCCTATCATTGTCCTATATTCTCCCTTCAGCACTAGTAAGACTCCCATTTTTCGAGAAAAGATTTATCTTGAGCTTCGCCTGGAAAACAGTTTAGGGTGACTCCAAGGTATGTAGAGTCGGTTTAGGGTTTATGTTTTAGGGTTTCGGGGTTAGATTTAAAGCTTCAGAAGTTAATCTGCCTTGGCCGCTGGGAGTAGGCCCTTTGGGTAACAGCTGGACCGTGATCACTAATCATTCTAGACTTCAAGTGTCGAAACTACACCTAAACCCTAAACCCTAAACCCTAACCCTAAACCCTAAACCCTAAACCCTATACCTGATGGTTTGAAGGAATGGATCCTGCGCCGGCCTAGGTACCCTCTACTCCTTGGGTTGAGGTTTAGGGTTTAGGGTTTAGCGTTTAGGGTTGGGGGTTTGGTCCCATTTGGTGACCTCAGGCTCTCAGGACTATACTGGGTTTTGGAGGCCGTGGTTTGAGAGCTCATTGCTACGAGAGTCCAACAGCCATCACTTGAGCTACAGTCTAAACTCCCCCTTAATAACCCCTATAATGGTACCCTATACCCTAGCCTTCCGCCACCTCGTTTAACTGGTGGGTTGCCAATCCACCCGTTTAACTGGTGGGCTCAGATTTTCCAGTCTCCAACTTTCAGCTGGCGTGTCCAGACCTATCCACACAACCTTCCCAGTGTAAACCACATCTACTAAAAAATGGCAAGCTTGCGGAATGCACTAAGAAAACAATGCCCGTGAAAATACCGTGAAAAGGCCGTGAAAACACCGTAAAAGCCACCAAGAAAACCGTGAAACCCACCCGAAATACTGTGAAACTTCTTGGCACTGGAAACGGTGCGAAAAGTGAGAGTCCCAACCAAATTTCAGGAGCATTTTTCCGCGGGATTCATGTGCACCTTTGTCGTGAGTAGATCAGGACAATTTCTGAAAGAACCAGTTTTCACAGTGGGTTCAGTTTTCTGCGTGGTTTACTTGAAGCACCTCGTTAAACTGGTGGGTTGGAGTTCTAGGGTATATATTCTACTTTTAAGGAGTTTAGACCCTACACCGTAAACCCAAAACCCTATATGATAATCCAGGATTCTGAACCCCAGGCCCTAAACTCTGAACCCTAAACCCTGAACCCTAGGATTTAGGG